CATTACGTTGCCAGTAACGTGCATAAACTTATGCTACATATATATATATATATATATATATATACATATATAAAGTGTGTGTAGAGAGAACATGGAAAAAGTTTATTTTGTAAATTTTGTCTAATGAGCTATTAAGCATACTTATCATGCATAAATTATTTACAAATGGGATTATTAAACAAAACATCCTTAATCTTAATCCATCTACTTACGGCCGTATGAACTGTCAGCAAAAAAGAAAACTATACGAACTTTTATTTACCAATATGCGAGACAGTGGAAAAAAGTCCTCTCAAATTTAACGATAGACAGAAAATGAAATAAATTTATATATGTAATTGTTTTTATAAAACACAAAATGTATCGGGCGATTGTTCCTTAGATTTTTATGCCATACATCACATCTGGTATAAGAATGTATTAAGCTTGGACGAATGTATACAGTTGTATACAGAATGTACAGGAGTTGGCTAACCTTTTACTATTCGTTTATGTCGATTCAGAATCACTTTCTTGTCGGTTCGTCTGTCCTTCTTGTTTTCTGTTATTCAATATACCGACATCACTTTTTGAGCTATTCTGACGAAACTTTGTACACCAGCACATTTTGGTCCAATTGCGAACGCTATTACATTTTGTTTGGATAGGAGCATTTTTTCGACCTCGCCCCATGTAACACCTTAGTTGGAAAAGTCGTCACTTTGTTAAGCAGCTTTGTTAAGTTGGGCATTTAATAGTTGCCCCTACCCAATCGGCGAAAGCATTTATGCTTTGCACGCACGATACGAAAAATACTTTTTTCATAAAAATGATTTATTTTGAAAACTTGAGTTTTCAAAATTCATGGGTAGACGCAATCGTATCTTTTCCATCGACTGTGAGAGGGAATCGCTTTAGTAGCAAGATGACGTACTGTGTTTGATGAGACCAGAAAAGTGGAATCTGTTATTAGTTCTTAAAGTCTTACATGAAACGATCAATGCCAAACGAATTGAACCTTTCCATGTTTAAAACACAAGGTCATTCTTTTACGTGACGTTCATCCATCCAGCCACCGATAAAACCGATGTTGCTGTACATTGAATGCACTAAATGTGGAGGTGTCAGCGCTTGGGAATCACTCAATAGAATGTGGTCCTTCCGGTTATCCTGTGTTTGCATTGCTGGATCACACAATAGCTGACTAGAACTTTGCTTCGTACGAAGATGGTTCGATGAAAGTTTCGTATCAGAAAGGGGGCGATTTTTAAAGTCGTGGTGTCCATAATTTGCCCGATGATTGAACAAAATGCTTAACTGATTATGAAGCATACTTTGAATAAACTAATTTTTATGGTTCTTCTCTATTTCATACATGTGCAGCTATGTAAATGTAAAGAAGGATTTATGTGTAACTTTTCTCTTAGATATCTATGAAGACCCGCTTACCGCTTGACTTTCGTAGTGAGTCAGAAATCTTACTGTATTATATGTTATTACTATCAATTTTATTAGGCCTTCGGCTTATTTTAAAATCAAATATCTTAAATGAAACTAATTGAGATTCAGGCTATGTTCATAGACACATTGTGTTTCCCATATGTTTGTAAACCATAAATAACTTGGCCCTGAAGCGCCAGATAGTATAAATATTCTTGATCAGCCTGAATAGTGTAATTGGCGTAACCACAAACATGTGGTTGACAGTGAACCCCCTTTATCACTTTCAAGTCAAACTTCATTTCTTAAATAATAAAAACAAAACCACGGCTTATCCGTAGCAAATCACTCAGTGTTTTGAAAGCAATTAGCTGTAATTCGTAGAAAATCAACAGAATAATTGAATAGCTTTCTTGGTGAACAGATATACATACACTAGCGTAAGCATCAATAAGAGATGCTTGCTTTGATAGGTATTGTTAGACTAACGATGCTTATGTAAATTATATGAAAGGGAGAAAACATTAACATTATTTTTTGTAAAACTGGTTTAATGAGCTACAAACAAAATAAAAACTTGTGTACTTGCATTTACTTGCATGTTGCATTTACTTATGAAATGATGACGCGACGGTGTATGTACGATGCGGTGTTCGGTTTACATATCGAGTGAATCAATTTTCTTTCTATATTGCAATAAAGTGCCGGGTATAGCAACTTCGGATGAAGGTGGAAGTTATATGTTTTAGTGTTTGGGTGCTTCTTTTTTTTAACAGTTAATTTACTTTTTAAATAATTTCATTTAATTTTGTTCTACTGTGATTGAAGTCAACTCCTGTGGAAGCATATTATATGAAACTTAAGAGATGGGTTCAATAAATGTGGCATTAGGAGACGTATAGAAGGAAGACAAACCAGATTAAATTGTACCGCGTTATATGGAACCCGCCGTCTTGTTTCTATGTACCGCTCCGTTCCATAGTTTATCACAGTTACGTTTAGAAACATATTAAAGCTTGAAATAAATCTTCGAATAAATTAAAAGAAGTCAACGTTTTATTGTTTGCTCGTTTTCACGGAATTTCCGCGGTAACTGGTATTGGGAATAACCCATAAAAGTTAACAATAACAATTTAATACAGCGAATAAGTGCAACCATAGGCGAATATTTGAAGGCATTTGAGCTGCTGAAATGATATTGCATGATGGACGGGTTATATAAGGAGAACTGCTCTAAATTTCCTTGCTCCGAGAAAACTTGACTCTGAACGATTAAATATACATTATACACAAAGAAGATAAATTTTTTGCTCCACGCTGATGGGAAATATCGCAGATATCGGAAATCGTTTGATTGCAAACCTCGTTATTAAGCAATCAATTGCTTTGGAGATCAAGATTTACCTCAGGTCTGCGAACAGGTAAGAGAGCACAGCACTGGTACTGCGATCGGTTGGCTGGCATTGCTGGATTGTTTACCTCTCGTGAGACACTGAAAATCCATGGAGGAAAATTGAGATGGCAGCCAACGTTTTAAGGATAATGTCAATGCAAGGGCAGCCAGATGTCGCGACACGCGAGCGTTATGGTCCGCAGGACCTGACGGGTGGGTTTGGCCGTTGAGTGGGTCTGAAAGTATAGTCAGGTTCAACACGAAATCGCGTTAGAGGGTAATAATTAGAAATGTTAGATAAGCCTCGATTTGCCTAGATACTTTAGCTTTGGTTTGTGCCATCGATCCCCGTGGGGCGAGCCTTCACGGTAAAACCCCAGACACTCTATCTTTGGCATAGGCCCTATAAGTGATGAAGTTATCATTTACATACAACTCTGTAAGCCTAAGGGTTTTTTCCAAATAAGCTACCACGATTTGTGCAGAAGTAAAGCTTCGAAGGTCTCTGGATATTTTCCAACACATCTATATTACACTAAGGTTTTCTTCTAATTGGTTTCTTCCCTATGGCATTTATATATGGTATTAAAGCAGAACTATGTGTTTTATTTGTTTATAATAGTGATGGAATAAATGAGAAGAAAATTTGGTATAAGAATAAACAAATAAATAAATACATGCTATGTATTGACGGTTCTTGATCATAAAAAACTTGGGTGTTTTTAAAAATTTTCTCCCCTCTCTTGGAGAACTCTTTAAGTTTTAAAAGAAATCTTATTGTGGTATAGAGATTTATTGCACATTACTGCACGCACAGTTACATTATATGTAGAACTCCGTCACATAAACTGAAAGAATATATTATCTGTGCAAATCTCGAAATAGAAAAAGTTCCTAATAAGAACTATAACACCCAACTTTGTTTTATAAGAAGCAAAAGGATAACATGTATGCACATGTGTATATAGTGTGTGTTATATACTTATGCGAACAAGATTTTCTATTTAAAAGAAAATCTAATAATGGAAGAAATTACATGCATGTTAATAAAGTATTAATGTACTATAATTAAGGAGACCACATCACTCGACGACGAATCTTAAATACCCTAAGGGCATAACATTTAATTCGAAAAATTCTGAGCCTAAGGATGATAGTACCATTAGCTTATCATGCGTCATGTTGAGGGATAAGAGATTGAATTGCATCGAAGGAGGAGACGGGGAAATTTGCTTAAGGTTATTTGATTACCGAACATCCTGATACCTTTCAACTTGTTGGCAGCCGTAAGATTTTGGGTATCTTGGAGTATCGTTCAGATCATTTAACGGTGTCAGATTCAAATCTGCCTATTTTTGCGATTGGCCGGACGTATAGACATGGTGGATTTAATTTAATATCCATAAGCTTGAAAGGCTGTGGATATCTCAGATTCTAAGATCGTTTAAATCAACACTTGCTCTCAAGAGGACCGAACTTACAATTGGTCAATCAAAGGAATAGAGGGAAGTAAACAAAATGTTTTTAAGAGTTTGTCCCATGTTAACGTTGAACAAAGGTTTCATTTTTTCGTTTAAGCAATGACACAAGCGAGTGAACAAAGCTAGTGTATCGCATCATTTTTGCTAAAGTGGGTAAAAATAAGGATACGAGGCCACAGTATGGGTAGAACCAAAATAAAACGAAACGAAAACCATGGAAGTGTTAAGTTTGTAGCGAGAAGCAGCGCAAACAAAAAAAAAAAAACTAGAAAATGGAAAAGCTCAGCAAATATAGAGTATGTGACGAACACATACGAACAATCGTACATATGTAAATGCAAGTTCTTCTTGTATATGCACATATATGTGTGTATATATGCATATACGTATATATATATATATATATTACTTAATCGTCGTGTGAAGTTCCGATTTAATAATATTTCGTTATAGTTTTGCTTAGAAGATTAAAAGATTATCTTGAAAAATATAAAGTAGAGAAGCGTAAAAATTATTACATTATTACGTGCAGAATATCATTTTTATGGACACATGCCTGTATGTGCTCGTAATGCTTTATTATGTAATAAATTGAATGTAGGCTAGGAAGTCTTCTTCATGCGCGTATAGGAATATGTATATATATATGTATAAATATAGAGAAACTTTCTTTTTCTTGCAAAGAATATTTCTATAGGAAGACTTACCCTGCTCCACGGATAACATTAAAACCAACACACTAGCTATAATTAAAGACTGCATTTTTTTTCTTTTTTTTTTTTTTTGCTATATCTTGTGTTATTATATAATTTTGATTTAAAAGAGAAAAACTGCTTTTATTTTTTGAATTTATTAATTATTAATCGTTTTAGTTCGTTTACTTTAATTGAATAAATTAAAAACAATTTATTTTCTTTAGCTTTCTAAACTCGTTTCAATTAACACACGGCCACGATTTTCAAATATTTTTACTTTTATTATTATTATTTTTTTCTTTTTATTTCATTAAATTGCTGGTTGGTTTTTTTAAATATTTTTTATTGGAATGCTGTTGGCTATTGCTGCGTTCAACTTGTTATTATTTTTTTTGTTATTTGACTTTTTTTTCTGTATTTGTAGTGATTTTTATACCCCCAGTGTTTTTGTGATTGCAGAACACAATAACGTGCAGGGTATCAGATGTTTGATAAATAATAATAAAAATGTTTAAAATTTGCCCGTTGGAAAATTATCAGTAATTGTATGATGGTTTAGCTTATAACATAAGCCGTGCACAGAACTCAGACACTGAAGGCAGAACCGACGAAACGGAATGATGTCGGACTATGTGCACAATTATATGCGAATCTAGACGTTTATCTATATATTTCGGAAAGAAACGAGAGATTTTTCGTACTCACTCTCTCTCTCTCTCTCTCCCTCTGTCTCAATCGGTCTTTCGCTTTCGTATGCTCTCTCCAAAGCAATTATTTTCCGAAGCTTAAAGTTTGCCTCTAGTAAGATTCTCAGATGAAAACTTAAAAAAAAGCTAAGCGTAGTAAAAGTTTTTCTGTGCTATTCATTAGTTTTTGTTGCTTCTTTGTCCTTTTGTCTTTTTTTTTTTGCTTCTTTCAATTCCATGGAAATTTTAAATTCATCATATTGCTGCTTGCTTTTACATTATATTTCCTTTTAATCTTTACTTTCAAAGGTTATACTCAAATACAAAATATATATATATATATATATTTGTTTGCGTGTATACATGTGTAGAGTATATAAAGTAAGTCACTGGAGCAAATTCACGTTATTGATATCGAAGCAATACAACAAGCTATAATGTAAAAGCTATAATATCTGTTGTCTTTCATAAGAACATAGATGTGCGTATGTGACTGAATCCGTATTTCGACATACAATTCGCATAAGCATAAGCAGGAAATCGTAACAAAGGACGAAGAAGAACAAATTTTACAAAAGAAAAAAGGAAACATTGTTAAATAAAGGCGAACGAAATATGAAAACAAAAAATTAAATGAGAAAACTTAGCGCTTACATAAGACGCCTTTTCAAGGCTATCGATTTTAATGTCTAGTGTTCAGATATTCCCTAAAATCTTAAAGGATAAATAAACTTTATTTATCGCTCTGTCCTTTTTTTAAGTCCAAGCAATTTCGTTTCTTCTTATCTTAACTCAATCCTTAAAAGACAATTTTTTTGAATACGACAGAAATATCCGTAAAATTTTCACATATCTGTTCGTTTAATAAAAGCGCTGGCTTAAAAAGTCAAATAACTCCAAGTATGGTGTTGCTCGCAGTTGATAATCTGTCAATAAAAGATTGTGTTTCCGATTTTATTTTTTACTTTGCTATAAAGATCGGCCTTACTTCGCAGGAACATTCTTGTAATGCCATCTTACAGAGGTCAAGCTTTCGTAAAACGGGTTGTTCACAAAAAGTACCTTATTTTACTGCTTGTAGAAAGCAGGATGGATTGAATATAAATCCGGATGGATTGAATAAAAAATTTCCAGTTACCGTAGCAATGTTATTATAGTCAAGTTTTTTTTCTCACTTACCTGTTCATTCATTTGATCCCGCAGACTCGCTTAGCATTCACGAATTAAGGTCTTGGCCTTTGCTGTGTTCTTTTAAGCAAATACTCTCCTAACACATCTTAGAGAACATTCGCAAAAGCGTTTTCCACAGCCGAAATGGTTTAGGAATCGTTTGTCGCTAGGTCGGCAGGAAAATATACAATGTATTTAGGGAATTAAAGAGCCTTAGAAAATGTTGTTGTATTGTTGATATCGTTTACCTTTCCACTTGTTAACTCTTTAATTATTATTTAGCATAGACGAGTATACTCGACACAAGCATAGCTGTTTTGTTTTTAAAATAACTAAAGACATCATAGTCGACCATTACATTCGTTACACCACTTCGTTTAGTACAGTTATTCACTCGTTTTGGTAATAATAATACACCCAAAAGTATGCATTATTTTCATGCAGAGATATAGTTTTCCCGAAAAGCAAGCTTATTGGAAGCTTAGATTTTCTCTCCATATAAGAATTTGCGTTGTGTCATAATGCTGGTGTCAATGGTTCTATGTGATCCAAATTCGCTGTCGTTAATTTTTTTTGTTACGATTCAAATTAGGTCCACTTAGTTTTTTTTATTTAATTACTGTCATGAACGTATTTTCATCACAAAAACATATAACGGTTTACGTTCCTTATGTGCTGTGGTATCCAACAAATAGGCCTACGTGGTCCAAATTCCGCAAGTTTGATTTCTCTTTACTATTATGAGCCAATTTTCACCATATATATACATATATGAAAATTCGATCTTTTTACCTTATAAAGATTCAATTCCCGCAAAAATGATCATATGAGATGGTATTCGAAAAATTGCCGCAGCCGGTCTAAAGTTTTCACGCTTATTTAGAATGCCGAAACACAACTTCTTAGCCACTTTTGTGGAGAAATTTTGGAAATTGTAATTTTTTTCCGTATAACGACTTCTTAAAGTATGGCGATTTAGGGGGAGTGGTTGAAAAAGTGAACCGATGCAAAGTTGAATCAAGGTGATTGGCTTGTGTCTTTCTGGAAAGCAAATCAAAAGGTCCCTCAGAGTCTACTTGTCATGTTTTGAAGGCATTTTATAGTAGCTCTCACACGGATGCGGTTTATACCGGTTTTAGTAAAGCGTTTCACTTAGTTGACCATAAATTTTTGATCTTCGGTTGATTTAAACCATTCGCTGTCCGAAAAAGCAACACCATGTAATAGTTTTATGTGACGTTCAATCATAGGCAAGATGGGCATTGCTATACGTTACAAGCATTCATCTGAGTAGTCCTAGCGTCTGGGCTTTACTCAGCAGGCTTAGCTCCTTCCGATTATCTCGTGTTCGCATTAATGGGTCATACACTAGCTAAGCAGCACGCGACGAAATGTCCGTTGCGAAGTGCAAACTCATACGGATTACTCAAAAAGCCCGCCTCTTTCGGATTACTACCTGTTTACATCGATATCAGGCGCATTTGCTGAGCAACGCTTCGCTTCATATGAAATTCTATGAATTCATGCATCAAAACAGCAACATCTTGTTTGGTATAGCAAACAGTTGAGAAAATCCATAAGTAACGATAGGGAATATTTCGAATAAAATATGATTCATCGTTTGCGCACGATAGACGCTTTCCCTCTACATAAAAGGGACGGCCTGACATGTACACACTTGGTATTAGCTTAGCCGACAAAGAAACACTAAGGACAACTACATGTTTCTCTAGTAGAAGTAGAGCTGCATGACTATCTATCAGATGTAGAGTTAAATCTGACGATGCATATGCCAAATTTCGTCTAAAAATGAATAGAAGCGTGACTGGTTAACATGACGGTTTTAAAGCATGGTTTCGTTGCCACGTGGCACACTTTGCATTGATTTACAATTTTTAAAGGTGCCTTAGAACACGGTACACATTTTTTCGGTTTACATCTAAGCTTAAGTTATATTAATTATATTATACTATGTGATACTTTAGTATAAACAAAAACAAATCGGTACGAATATAAACGTGTTAAAGGGTGTGAGGATAAATTCGTATTTAACTAGTAAAGACACCTACCATTTCTGTTAACATACCTCTGTTAACGACTTAACAGAGCCATGTTCAATACTTACAATTGAGATATAGTTGGTTTGAAAGCCTAATCCGTCCATATTGAAAAAAAGAAAATATTTTTGTGGACATTTCGTGAATCTATATAAAACTACCTTTCAAGCAAACTAAACAATTTCAAATTTTGCTTATGGAAACTATTTTTACCGATTTTTTGAAATTTGCTATGTTAGCGAAAAATGCATATGGAAAGAAACCCAAATTTGACACTCTGGTGCGGCCAAACTAGAAAATGTCGCCTATATTCACCAATATCACGTGAATCTATATGAAAATGCCTATCGATTAAGCAAAAAAAATTCACACTTTGCTTTCAGGAACTATTTTTACCGATTTTTTGAAATTTGGTATGTTACCATAACATAGCTATGGGAGAACACCCAACTTTGACACTCTGGTGCGACCAAACTAGAAAATGTCGCCTATATTCACCTATATCACGTGAATCTATATAAAAATACCTATCGATTAAGCAAAAAAAATTCAAACTTTGCTTTCATGAACTATTTTTGCCGATTTTTTGAAATTATACAACTAACAAGATAACGCGTGATGCGTTAACAGAAAAAAACAAATTTAACTTCTTAACATTTCCAAATTCGTTTTTTAACAGAAAAAAACAAATTTAACTTCTTAACGTTTCCAAATTCGTTTTTTTCTGTACATGACGTACACCTGTAGAAATAAAACAAACTTTTTGGCGGTTTTTTCGTGCGGCAAAAATAGTTCCTGAAAGCAAAGTGTGAATTTTTTTTGCTTAATCGATAGGTATTTTCATATAGATTCACGTGATATAGGTGAATATAGGCGACATTTTCTAGTTTGGTCGCAACAGAGTGTCAAATTTTGGTGTTTTTTCTTATGCAGTTTTCGCTAACATACCAAATTTCAAATACCGTTAAAAATAGTTTCCATAAGCAGAATTTGAATTTGTTTAGTTTGCTTGAAAGGTAGTTTTATATAGATTCACGAAATGTCCACAAAAATATTTTCTTTTTTTTAATATGAACGGATTAGGCTTTCAAACCAACTATATCTCAATTGTAAGTATTTAACATGAGCTCTGTTAAGTCGTTAACAGAGGTATGTTAACAGAAATGGTAGGTGTCTTTACTAGTTAAATTCGAATTTATCTGCACACCTTTAACGTGTTAAGC